GGAGCGTGCTGACCGCGCTGACCCTGCTCTCCCTCCGCAGGCGTCTCCCGGGCATGGATGGGTGAGCCCCCGGCTGCGGCACCGCCCAGCAGCCCTCCACGCCGAGGCCCCCTGGTGGCGAGAGGATGCACCTGTCGGCGGTGCTCAACGCGCTCCTGGTGTCCGTGCTGGCCGCCGTCCTGTGGAAGCACGTGCGGCTGCGCGAGCACGCGGCCACGCTGGAGGAGGAGCTGGGCCGCGGCCAGCAGGCCCTGGACCCCGTGCCCGGGCCGAGGGTGGACTACCCGCGGGCCCTGCAGATCCTCACGGAGGGGGGCACGCACATGGTGTGCACCGGCCGCACCCACACGGACCGCATCTGCCGCTTCAAGTGGCTCTGCTACTCCAGCGAGGCCGAGGACTTCATCTTCTTCCACGGGAACGCGTCGGTGATGCTGCCCAACCTGGGCTCCCGCCGCTTCCAGCCGGCGCTGCTGGACCTGTCCACCGTGGAGGACCACAACGCCCAGTACTTCAACTTCGTGGAGCTGCCCGCCGCCGCGCTGCGCTTCCTGCCGAAGCCCGTGTTCGTGCCCGACGTGGCCCTCATCGCCAACCGCTTCAACCCCGACAACCTCATGCACGTCTTCCACGACGACCTGCTCCCGCTCTTCTACACGCTGAGGCAGTTCCCGGGGCTGGCCCGGGAGGCGCGGCCCTTCTTCATGGAGGGCTGGGGCGAGGGCGCGCACTTCGACCTCTACAAGCTGCTCAGCCCCAAGCCGCCGCTGCTGCGCTCGCAGCTCCGGGCGCTCGGCCGCCTGCTCTGCTTCTCGCAGGCCTTCGTGGGCCTGTCCAAGGCCACCACGTGGTACCAGTACGGCTTCGTCCAGCCGCAGGGCCCGAAGGCCAACATCCTGGTCTCCGGCACCGAGATCCGGCAGTTCGCCCGCTTCGTGGCCGAGAAGCTGAACGTGAGCCGCGCGGGGCCGGCCCCGGGCGAGGACTACATCCTGGTCTTCAGCCGCACGCAGAGCAGGCTCATCCTGAACGAGGCCGAGCTGCTGCTGGGGCTGGCGCAGGAGTTCCACATGAAGACGGTGACCGTGTCGCTGGAGGACCACGCCTTCGCCGACGTGGTGCGGCTGGTGAGCAACGCCTCCATGCTGGTGAGCATGCACGGGGCCCAGCTGGTCACGGCCCTCTTCCTGCCGCGCGGGGCCACGGTGGTCGAGCTCTTCCCGTACGCTGTCAACCCCGACCACTACACCCCGTACAAGACGCTGGCCACGCTGCCCGGCATGGACCTGCAGTACGTGGCCTGGCGGAACACCATCCGGGAGAACACAGTGACGCACCCCGAGCGGCCGTGGGACCAGGGCGGCATCGCCCACCTGGACCGCGCGGAGCAGGCGCGCATCCTGCAGAGCCGAGAGGTCCCCCGGCACCTCTGCTGCCGGAACCCGGAGTGGCTGTTCCGAATCTACCAGGACACCAGGGTGGACATCCCGTCCCTCGTGCAGGCCATTCGGCGCGTGGTGAAGGGCCAGCCCGGGCCGCGGAGGCAGAGGTGGACAGTCAGCCTGTACCCAGGGAAGGTGCGGGAGGCCCGCTGCCAGGCGTCAGTGCAGGGGGCCACCGAGGCCCGCCTGTCCGTGTCCTGGCAGATCCCGTGGAACCTCAAGTACTTGAAAGTGCGGGAAGTGAAGTACGAGGTGTGGCTGCAGGAGCAAGGGGAGAACACGTATGTGCCTCACATGCTGACCCTGCAGAACCACACCTTCACGGAGAACATCAAGCCCTTCACCACCTACCTGGTGTGGGTCCGCTGCGTCTTCAACAGGAGCCTCCTGGGACCCTTCGCAGACGTGCTGGTGTGTAGCACGTAGCCCGAAGCCGTGGCCAGGCCTCAGCTTAGCTTCCCCGCCTGGCCTGCTGGCAACTCTGGCGGTTAATTATCTATTTATTGAGCAGGCCGGGGCTCGTGCTGTTTGCAGGCTTCCTCTTTGCCCTGAAGCGGTGGGGCCTGGCCCTCAGCCGCCCTGACCACCTTGGCTCCGGTGGGATTTCTTAGTGGCGAGGAGCGTGCAGCCAGGCCCCCATCTCCTCTTGCTGACCTCCTTTTGGTGACCGAGCTCGCTTTGCCCTGCCCTGCCCTGCCCTGCCCCAGTCCTGGCTTCTAGACAGTGTCATGGGGTTGGTGGGCGGGGCAGATGCTCTGGGAACCTCATCTGTAGCTGAGTGGCAGGTGTGTTCGGAGCAGTCATTAAATGATTGTGGACATCTTGGTCAAGTCTCTTAATGTCTTATTAGCATAGAATTACACCTTGTAATGTGTTTCCTATGACTTTTCTGTTTGGTTTTTTGTTTTTTCGAGACAGGGTTTTTCTGTGTAGCCTTGGCTGTCCTGGACTTGATTTTTAGACCAGACTGGCCCTGAACCCACAGAGAGCTGCGTGCCGCTGCCTCTCCGAGTGCTGGGATCACAGGTGTGCACCACCAGGCCGGCTTCATGAGACATTTTCATGCATGTTTATAATGCCCTTCAGTATGCCCCCTCTGTTAACCTTTCCCGTTTCTCCTCTGCTAAGCCTTTCCTCTTTGCAGTCCACGCTCACACTTTCAAGTCCTTTTGTATGTGTCTTTGATGGGCCAATGAGTTCCCCTCGGGTTGCCTACAGGCACATGGTAAGGGGGTTCTCATGGGCCCCTTACTGCTGACTACCCATAGATGTCTCCCTCCATCCACTCCTGTGAAATCCACAGTGGGGGTGAGGCCCCTCCCCTTTCCACAGTGGGGTACAGATGGGCCTGAACTTGTGCTGGTCATCACCGCGGCGTGAATCCAAGGGTGAGAACTAAAGGTCACCTGGGCACTGTCAACTCTTTCCTGCTGTCCAATGAGATTGCCCAAAGGCTGCCTCCCTTGAGCTGTCAGCGTGCGGGGCTCCTCAGACCACTCCCCATTGCTTGTCATACCCAGGAGTCACCCGTTTTGCTGCCCCTTCTATATTTCTTAAGCCTTGGTGAGGGTAATACAGATGCCCCGTGGATGAGCTTTCAGTAGTCACTAACTCTCGGCACTTTAGCCAGCTATGAGTCTACAGGTAAGAAAAATAAGATAAAATAAAAAAGTCCTAACAAAGCTTGCAGCAGTACTGATCCATAGGCGTGAGGCTAGTTAGAAGAGAATTTCCTGGGCCTGTCATATCCGTGACATGCCTCCCCCTGTTGGAGCCCTGGCCTACCCAGCCACACGCTGTTACAAGGTCAAACCTCAGTTCCCTCCTGTGGCATGGTCCTCAAACCCAATCAGGAAGCAGCTGGTTTCCCTGGAACACACCTGCCCCTCTTGCCTGGCGATGGGATTGTCTGCAGCCAATTAAAGCTGTTCATATTCCCAGCCAGTGTAACACTTTACCAGGGCCAGTGAGCAGGAGGAGGCTTCTGGTTCTTCTCCTGGGTGTCTCTGCCCTGTGACAAGTGTTTAGTGTCATCAAGTAGGGTTTTATCATCAAGTTCTGGTGAGCAACTAACAGTGTCAAGTGTCTGTAATGGGGAGTGGTCTGAGGAGCCACCGTATGCTGACAGCTCAAAGGGAGACAGCCTTTGGGCAACCTCACTGGACAGCAGGAAAGAGTTGAGAGTGCCCAGGTGACCTTTAGTTCTGATTATCAAAGGATGTGACAGTGGGGTGCCTGAGGCTGAAGGGAGCTCGTTTGGCGCCCACCTGCACGGGCAGTGTCTCCTGCAGAAGCTGTGACGAGGGTGCAGCCTTGGGGATACCCATGGTACCCGCATGTGACCTGGGTGGCGCCTGCTGCTGCCTTCTCCCTGAGCACAGTCGATGCTGAACCACAGACACGCTCTCACTCAAGTCAGAGTAAGGAGTGGCTATCGCTGCAGCTACTGTTCAGCCTTTCTCCCAAAAGAAAATCCCAGCCAGGTCGTTCGACAACATAAATAAGGAAAATTAAACATGAAACGGAGATTTCCTACTTAAAGGCTATTTATCTAGAGGGACAGAGATGACTCGGCTCTTTCAGAGGGCCCGGCGTTAGCTCGTAGTAGCACTCGGGACAGCTCACAGTCGTCTGGAGCTCCAGTTCCAAAGTCCCAGTGTCCTCTCCCAGCTTCTCTGTGCAGGGAAGACATTCATACACACAAAACAGAATAAATATTTTAAAGTGGACACTTGTGCCACCAAGAAGAATAACAGTGTCCCATTGAAGCAGGGAGTTAGGAAACCCTATCAGCAGGGCACAGCACAGCTCACAAATGGGCCTCTGAGTGCCCCAGCATTTATCTGAGAAGAGTTTGCTTTCAGATGGGGACAGAATAGACTCTTGAATACAATCTGGAACAAGGAAACTTCAGTTACGTCTCAGCTCAAACACTTCCAAATGCAAATTTCACACAAAGAGACACTGAAGTAAGAGACAAATGACACTTCTAAAGGAGCAGCAGCCTTTCCGAGAAGGCACACACCCCGGGAGACGCGCAAATTTGACTGCCTAGAATGACAGCTTCCTGTTCCACAAGACAGGGGCAAGCTGTAATGAGACTGGGGAACAGACAAGTCTAATAGTGAAGGCTGAGTGCCCCTCGGATTCTCGTCACTGCCTCGGAAAGGAAAAACAGAAGAGTTGGCCCACAAAACGTGCAGCGGCTAGCGTGGAAACGAAGGTAATGTCTACAGTAATAAAGGCTTCTCCCTGCTGGAGGGATGGCTCAGTGGTTAAAGAACTCTGGCTGCTCTTCCAGATGATCCAGATTCAAATCTAGCCACACGGCAGCGCACAACTGTCTGTAACTCAAGCCCCAGGGGTTTGACGCATCTTCCGGATTCTGGAAACACTAGGGGTGCACAGGGCGCACAGATACACAGCCACATAAGACGCCCTGCACATGAAAATCAAAACTTCAAAGTAAGCAATGAATCTTAAACAGCAGATTTCATGGCTGGGCAAGTTTGGGCGGTAGAGTCCTTGCCTAGCACCCATGAAGTTCCAGGTTCATGCATGTGCCTGCGTGTGGGCTCACATGCACACACAGCACGTGTTCAGGGATGGTTCATAGGACACTCTTGAACATGTTTATTGATGCGTGAGTAATAAGCAGAGCTGAGAACGTGGACAGGGAGTGAGACAGGGAGTGGGCCCTCCGCGGTGCCCAGCAGGCGAGCCCTCCCCTGGCAGTAAGCTCCCTCCGCTCTGGCTCCTCCCACTTGTCATGGGGTGTGGGCTGCTGTCAAGGCCTGGGAGCACTCACCAGCTTAGGCTTACAGGAAGTCCTCCAGTAGGTGTGCTCTGCCCAGACAGCAGTGGGCTCAGGGGCCCTGCTCTCTGAACAGCGTGAGGTTGTGCGTCTGGATGTGTGTCAGCAGGACCTGTGCCCTCCTCTCCAGTGTCGCAAGGATATGCTTCAGGCCCCCGGCTCCACCTTGGCCCTCCCAGAGCACCGGGTCCACCTGCAGCGACTTGAGCAGCAGGTTCGGAAGACACCCGGATGCAAGAACCTTCACAGCGGACTCGGGAAACCTGGATCCAAAACCCCAGAGCACATTCAAGAAAGGAAAGGCCCGACTGAGCTTAGGGAGCCCCCACAAAGCGTGAACCCAGACCTTGCCCAGCCAGGAACCCAGCACACTCAGACAAGGCAGGCCTGTGCCCGCCAGCTCCTTATCCGAGAATTCAGTGAGCTGCTGTGTTCTGAAAGCGGAGGGCAGCACTCGAAGGCACACCTGAGGCCTTAAAGAGCTCTGGGGAGTCTGAGCTGCTGCTGGGAGTGAAAAGGGAAGGGCAAGCCACCAGGCTAGCCCTCCCACCTGCCAGCTGAGCCAGCCTTCACACTGAAGCAGGGCAGCTGGTCTCTGCAGGAGCTCTCGGTAGGGGAGGCACCCGCTGACTGTGGCCCATCTCAGCCTCCCCAGCTCTCTGCAGCCTCAGGTGCAGCTCTGGTCTGATAGACGTTAGCCGTCCCAGGGGATGAAGGCTCCACAGTGTACAGCAGGGCCAGCAGGCCTCACCCCGAACCTCGGCCCAGCACCCCAGGTGCTCACCCATTTATGCCTTCCAGCAGCCGAAAGTTCAGCTTGTCCTCCGGATGCTGAAGCCGGCCGGCATTGTCTATGTACACCAGGTGAGAGGGATCGGTGCTCCGGACCTCAGGAAGAAGAAGGGTGGGACAGCTCAGGGTAAGGGCAGCGCATGACTGGTGCCACACTGCCATTTCAGGGGACCCCGTGAGCATCCTCGGCTGTCTGTGCCATGTCCCTACTTCTCCCCACGGTCCCATGGCTGGGGCCTCACCATCTCTGCAGATCCTCCCAGCAGCCTTAGGAGGCCCAAAACTGTTGAGCAATTTATACAAATCACATCAATAATAACCAGCTGGCATCAAATGCAAACCTGGACACACAGCAGTGAGCCATAGTCATGTGCCAAACTTCAAGGCAAGGGGACTGGTTCCTGGGTCAGCAGCCTGGGTGGGGTCTGAACTAGAGGTCAAAAAGGAAAGGAGCCTGCTCCAGAGGCTCAAGGGCTGCACGCCTCATCACACACACGCATGCTTGCCACATACACACACACTTCTAATGCCTGGTGTGTTTGAGACTAAGAGGTATCTCTTGCGGCCCACACTCCCAAGCACACACTCTGGTCCCTCTGTCTCCAGAGCTCCGCACTGCTTTCCACAGCCCTTCCCAGCAATCTCGGCTTGAACTATGACCTCAGGGCCTCAGGACCCAAGCGTGCCCTCTCTACCTCTTCTCCCTTCCACTGACAGCCCAGTTATCAAAGTCCACCTCTAAAAGACCTCACGGTCCCCTGCAGTCTTGGGGACACACCCACTCCACCTCAGCCACATTCTAAATGTTGTCTGTTTTACATACTTGGCTTCTCAACAGCATTATCTAAGACACGGTTTGCTGCCAAAGAAAAGAAAGAAGACTGGGGAGCCCCTGGGTAGTCACTGAGAGTGGCCTGCCAGTGTGCATGTGACAGGGGCTGCGCATGCGAAGGACACCTACCAGGATGTGGACAAGCCGCAGCTCCTCCGGGTTCCGGCACTTCTCCCGGAGGCCCTCTTCCACGCAGGGGTCTGACGGCTCAGGCTCAAAGCCACAGCAGTAGCGGTCCAGGCGGTCGTGGACCTGCGGAGAAGACCCGGTGTCAAGTCCGCTTGGCTGCTGGGCCTGCACCAGCCCGGAGCCTCTCTGGGACAGCCCTCAGGGCTGTGTGCTGGTTAGCTGTGTAGTGGCCCCCAGCTAGGAAGGGGCCACCCGCCCCAACTCTCCGTTTAAGCCTGAAGCTCACGGCAGTATCCTGAAGATGAACTTTGGGGTGACAGGACCCCTCTCTCCGCCCCTCTCTGCTTTTCTCGGCAATACTCCTTTAAATTGGCGTTAGGAAGGGTGGCCAAGTTTAGTCCTTTAAGGCTGCCCTGTTAGTGCCAGGCGGAGTGGATGGGCCCTGGTCGGATTGCAGAGCTGCTAGTGTGTGAAGGAACATTACTCCAAGGCCAGCGTTGCAATCGCCGCCCTTACACCACTCCTCCTCACTGCCGACGAGGCTGACAAGCTCAGCCACATCCGGGTCATAAAGGACAATCCGCACACAGCTGGATTTGAAGTTAATGAAGCAAAGGGCCCCGCTTGTGGACAAGGCGTGCTGCATATGGGAAGGGGGTCTGACGGTGGTGCCCACAAAGCTGGCTCGGCTCTAATCCCCGCTGGCTGAGCAGCAATAAGAGGGTAGTCCCGGTCGACACCTAACGGCACCCTGACTTCCTGCTCGGGCTCCTGCCCTGCTGAGGTGGCCCGGAGTCTCAGTCACACCGTGCAGAGGGACCCAGGCTGCCCATCCACTCGCTCCCCAGGTCCCTGGAGCTTCACCCTCTGTTCTCTCCCTCCCTTGCTGGATCAGGCAGAGCCTCTGTCCCCTGCGGTCCGACTCTAAGCCTCTCCCTTCCAGGTCCAAGGTGCTCAGGTGCAGAGGCCGAGTGGATCTCTTGATGCCCAGCCCGGGCTCACCTGGAAAGGCCATCACCACACCGCCAAGTTCAGAGAGGCCTTCTGGCCCCTGAACAGACATTGCCCCCCATGTGGCAGGCTGGAAGTGCCAGAATTACTGCTCCTTTCACCAGAGGCACTGCCCAAGCACCGGCCTGTCAGGTGCCAGGAAGACACTGCCTCCTTGGGGGGCTGATGTTCCACCCCACTCAGCTCGTTGGGCCAGCTCTCGGCTGCCCACGGCATAGCCTCCTCACAGCCACATCTTCCTGCTCTGCTTCTCTTGCCCATTATGCAGCCACCTCTGGACCAACCACCTCCCCAAAGAACTGCTGGTTCTCAGGTCCTACTGTTTGAAGAGAAAGCACAGCTGCAGTGGGGACCCCGGCCATCTCTGTTGCCGACTGTACGGGCTCCTCTAGATGCTGTCCTGCCCCACCTCAGAACACTGACCTCCATGTGCCCCCCCCCCCCAGAATAAAGAATAAATATTTTAAATTTTGTAAATGGGGTAGCCATCCTCCATGTGACTCACACAGGCAGGGGACGGATCTACAGCAGGGCGTGTGCTTTGGGCATGTGATTGCAAGAGCTCCCGGGAGGGTCTGGCCAGAGGGTCCCCTCAGGAAGGAGGAGCTTCCCTAGTGCAGCAGCTCAAGGCCCAGAGTACAGCATGGAGGAAGGGTTTGGGTGACACCACATGCAGGCCCAGATCGGGACAGCAGTGGTGCTTGTGACAGTTAGGGTTGTTGTGGTTGTTGTTTTGCCAACACAAACTGGGGTCATTTTGGAAGAGGGAACTTCCATTGAGAAAATTCGTCTGTCAGTTCAGGTTAGTCTGTGAGGCATTTTCTCCACTGATGACTGCTGTAGGCTGGGCCCAGCCCACTGTGGGTGGTGCCACCCCAGGCTGAGGAAGCCACGGGGAGCAGGCCAGTGAGCAGCACTCCTCCGTGGCCTCTGCTTCAGTTCCCGCCTCCAGGTTCCTGCCTGAGTTCCTGCCCTGGCTTCCCTTCACGATGAACTGTGAGCTGTAAGATCAAATAAACCCTTTTCCTCCCGAGCCTTTGGTCATCGAGCTTACCACAGCGACAGAAAGCAAATTAGGACAGCAGGGCAGAAGCCCGCTTCACTGCCTGAGGCTGTGGCTCAGTGCAGACTGCGGCTCAGTGAGACCATAGCACTGAACCTTGGGGACTGCTCTGGCCATGCTCTGCCCTCTGCACACAGTCAGGCAGAGCCAGCAGAGGACCCCTGCTCCTGCCAAGCCCCCTGACCAGGCTTCCAGGCTGCTCCAGCCACTCCGCGTTTATCTGCAGAGCAGGCTCCAGGGCGTGTCAGCCAGCATAACGTACCCAGCCCTGGCCTTCTGAAATCTGCGCCCTCCTGGATGCCTGGCAGGAAGAGCCTGCTGAGGTGCCAGCTTGATTATTTTGCCACACTGTCTGCTTTGTTTTCCCATCAGCTCAAGCCGCAGCCACAGCCCACATTCCTTCAGGACTTTGCTTTCCTCCACTCTGAAAAAATGAGGAGTTTCCCAAAGAAATAATTCCACACAGCTCCAGTGCTCTGAGCCAGCTCAGCGGTGCTGCAGACTGGACCTCAGCCTTTCGTCACGGAGGCCTTGCAAAGCACAGGCTGTTTGGCGACACCCCCCGCCCCCCAGGGAGCTTTACCCAGCACTGTGCACTAGTTCCTCCAGGCAGCCCACAGGGACACTCTTCCAACCGTGGAGAGGACAGTGAGCCATGGAGGGGGCTGCCCACTGGGCTGAAGGCCACATAGTAGGAGTGGTGGTCCCTGGATCTGAAGCCAGGAAGTCTGGCTCTGACCGTGAAGACAGACATATAATTTCTGGCATTCGAATGGGAAGATGAGTTGTCGAAATAAAATAAATAAGTAAAATGAACGGTCTAACCGCAGGACCCAGAACGCATTCAGCGCAAGTTGACACTTAGTGAGTCTCGGGACACGAGAGTGGATGAAGCCAGAAGAACACCATGGGGCCCCAAGGACACGTGTGGTCGATGGAAACCTGCTCACCACCCCCACCACCTGTGTCAGGGGAGGCCGGGCTCTGTCACCTCCCAAACAGAGTATCTGGGTAGGACCAGATGCTGCAGGTGGCCGAGGAAGGCCACGGGACCATCTGGAGGGCTGGAAGGCCAGGGAGGGGCCAGCAGGTGCTGTAGGTGGCCGCAGGCCACTGACCAGGCTCCTAGGCCAAGCCTGGATTCCAGAAGTGATGTCTGGCATTCCTGTGGCCACACCCTTCAGCTGAGACCTCCTCACTTCCCTTTCACTTGGCAGCCCAAGGGTCCCGGGGCCTTCCCCGAGGGTGGGCTCATTCTCTCCTTCATAGAAAATTACCTTTCCCAGACAGCAAATTCCTCATAGCTCAGGGCCATACGCACGTGCACATGCCTGTGCACACACGTGCATGTCGGACTCCGACACGCACAGATTAAAGTAAATAAGCCAACAAACCAGGCATGGTGGCATGTGCTTCTCTGGGTAGCTGGAAAACCAGAGACGGGGATCCCCAGGCTCACCCACCTGCGGGTAGCCCACGTGGCCAGTTCCGGGCCCCTGAGGAATGGAATGCAACTCTGACCCCAACGTGTACACACACTGTCCACCCACACTCACAGGCAGGAGAGGGGAGTGGGGAATAGAATGGAGTTAGCAGCCGGGAGCACCAAGATGGACACAGGGAAACCACAGCCCCTCCACAGCCAGTGAACAGCGCCCCGGACCTCTGTGGGGAGGAAGGATCCCATCTGGTCACAGGAGATGAAACGTCACAAAATGAAGAATGACCCAGTCTTGGGTTTCACTATGATGAAACACCATGACTAAAGCAAACTGGGGAGGAAAGGGTTTATTTGGCTTACACTTCCAGCTAACAGTCCGTCGCTGAGGGGAGTCCGGCCGCAGCCCGAAGGCAGGAGCTGAAGCAGAGGCCTTGAGGGTGTTGCTCACTGGCTGCTCAGCCTTCTTACAGGACCCAGGAGCACCAGCCCAGGGGGCAGCACCACCCAGAATGGGCTGGGCCCTCCTGCATCAAGGACTAATGAAGAAAATGACTGACAAGCGGTTCCCATAGAGGCATTTTCACAACTGAGGTTCCCTCCTTTCACATGACTCTAGCTTGTGTCAGGTCGACATAAACTGTCCGGGACAGAGCCACTGGGGCAAAGGCACAATGCCTCCCAGAAGCGTGGGCCGATGGAGAACGAGGACTCATCCCCACCAAGTATGAAATATGTCTGTTTGGCGGCTTGGTTTGGGTTGGTTTTGAGACAGGGTTTCTCTGTGCAGCCCTGGCCGTCCTGGAACTTACAGTGTAGACCAGGCTGGCCTTGACCTCGGAGCTCCACCTGCCTCTGTTAATCCCAAGTGCTGGGATTAACAGCGTGCGCCACCGTGCCCAGTGAATGGATGTTTTAGGATGAAGCTTTGCTGTCAGTCCACCAAAATTAATTCCAATAAAACTCCAGAAGGATTTGGGAACAAAACAACAGAAGTAACACACTGACTGTAAAATCACACAGAAACACTATTCCAGCAAATTTTGAAAATGAGCCCTGAGAGGGTGTGCGCGCACGCACGCACGCACACACACACTTTGTAATTGAAACACTGTGACTCTGGCATCGGGAACAGAAGAGTCTAGAAACAGCCTCACAAACAAAGAAACTGGCTGTTCGGGGAAGGAATGAGTCTCCAAGAAATGACACTGAAACATTTAGGCTTAAAATATTTCCAGATGGATCCAAGATGGATAAGAAATCAGAAGAGAACTTTTAAAATAGCCGAAGTAATCACAGACTCACAAATCAGACAGCTAAGTTTGATCGTGTTACAGAGCAAGGAGAGGTCACTCCACAGCACGAAGTTTACACGAAGTGCGGACAATTGTGGCTGGTGAGGCAGGGCGCACAAGCACCCCTCTGCTCATGGTCCCAGGCCAGCCCCGGGCCAGTGTTCTCTTGTGAGTTTCACTGGGGGATTGGGTGGCCGCCTTCCCTCTCCCAGGGGGATCGGCCCAGTGGGCCTGTGGCGCCAGACTCTGCTGCCGAGGACTGAAGCAAAAGCACTAGGTTCAGTGAGGGGGCGGGGCGGTACAGGCTGCGACAGGGACAAGAGACAACGGGAGCCATCGTGTTGGCACCAAGAAGAGGCAGCGCCCAGGCCAGGACCCTGGAAGCTGGGGCCTTGGGGGCCATGAGCCGCCTTCAAACACCAACACTGAGAACCTACGTCACAGCTCACCTGACGGACACAGTTCAGCCGTGGCACACCAGAAGGCAGGCTCAAGTTGGAACTATCTCCAGATGTGGTGTGGCCATTGCCAGCCGTGCCATCCCATGAGCCTCATAGGTGACCCTGACAGCCCTCTGTGCAGGGCGGGGAGCACACACCTCACAGAGCCTATGAGCCCACCCCAGGACTACAAGCAGTTAACAGTGATGGGGCGGGGAGCTGTCCACTCGAGGTGACCTCTCACCCATGTCCCTGTGAGCAACCCCAGTGACCTCAGGTGCCTGGGACTTCGGTGCAACCTTTCCCTTTTGTCTGTCTGTCTCTCTTCTTCTCTCCCCCTCTCCCTCTCTAGCTCTCTTTTTTCCTCCTTTTCTCCCTCTGTCCCTCCTCTTCCTTTCCTTCCTCCCTTCCTCTTTCCCTCCCTCCCTCTCTGGAGTGAATAGAAATAGACAGACACCCCCCCCCTCCCAAACACGTGGGAGAAGAGCCCTTTGCACAGGAAACCGTGGGAAGGTGCCAGAGCCCAGCACTTTCTTCCTGGCCTCTGAGGAGGCCTCTGGGTCCCCCGGGTCATGAGGGGTCGCCAGCAGGGGTGCGGTGGGGGCCGCTAGCAGGCCATCCTAAGGGAGCCGCATCTGGCCGGTGGCCAGCTGTGCACCCGGTTCCCGAGCAGAGGCGCACACTCTGCCGCCCCTCCCGAGGCTTCCGGGAGGTGCTGTGAGCTGGAGAGCTGTTTTCTTGAGTGCTGTCCAGCAACGGAGGGGAAGGTGGTCTGACCACACAGCTGGCCTGGGTGTGCCCTGGCTGCAGCTGAGGAGGGTCCGTGCTACAGCCCCAGACACGAACACAGGGCTCTGTGCAGAGCAGAAAGCAGTGAGCACGCCGCTGGTGCCGGGCTTTGCACGGGGCTGCTCTCTGGGTGTCAGGGCTCCACGGCCTCCCTGCAAATGTCGCCCCCTTCCTGGCCAGCCTGGTGGTGACTCTGTGAGAACAAGTGCACTCGGGCGAGGCCCTCGGGGCTCTCAGTGAGCTCTCTGAGAGCCCGGCTGTGACCTTGAACTAGCAACCTCTCAGACCTCAATGGCTCGGCTTTATTTTTCACTAATGACTACTGTGTCTCTGTGTGTATGCTCACATGTATGCTTGTACATGTCTATGCTGTGCATACAGAAGCCAGAGGCATGCACGCACGCACACACACACACACACACACACGCATGTTCACGTGTGCTTGTACATATCTATGCTGTGCATACAGAAGCCAGAGGCATGCACGCACACACACACACACACACACGCATGTTCAAGTGTGCTTGTACATGTCTATGCTGTGCATACAGAAGCCAGAGGCACGCACGCACGCGCACACACACACACACATGTTCACGTGTGCTTGTACATATCTATGCTGTGCATACAGAAGCCAGAGGCATGCACGCACGCACACGCACACACACACACATGTTCACGTGTGCTTGTACATGTCTATGCTGTGCATACAGAAGCCAGAGGCATGCGCACACACACACACACACACATGTTCACGTGTGCTTGTACATGTCTATGCTGTGCATACAGAAGCCAGAGGCACGCGCACACACACACACACATGTTCACGTGTGCTTGTACATATCTATGCTGTGCATACAGAAGCCAGAGGCACGCACGCACACGCACACACACACACACACACACACGCATGTTCACGTGTGCTTGTACATATCTATGCTGTGCATACAGAAGCCAGAGGCACGCACGCACACACACACACACACACACGTTCACGTGTGCTTGTACATGTCTATGCTGTGCATACAGAAGCCAGAGGCACGCATGCACACGCACACACACACACACACATGTTCACCTGTGCTTGTACATGTCTATGCTGTGCATACAGAAGCCAGGGGCATGCACGCACGCACGCACACACACACACACACACACGCATGTTCACGTGTGCTTGTACATATCTGTGCAACACCTCAGGTGTGCTCCTCGCGCACCTTCCCCAGCTCCACAGATTGGCCCGTCTGACGCTCCTCCTCCCAGCACGGGGACCCCAGGCACACAGCCTCACTTTTCACATGGGAGCCAGGGAGGTCCTCACGCTTGCACAGCTGTCTCCCCAGCCAGCTCAGGCTTAGAACACAGGTAAACATGGCATCTCACCGGTAAGGTGCCACGGGGCTGGCTGGGTCTGCCCCTGGGAGAGTTGGGTGAGGGGCCTCTTTGCCCAGCGTGCTGGTGTTGTGTCTATCCGAAAGGGCCCCGCGCTCAGGAGCCACTGAGGCCGGGCACCCGACACAGGCAGGGCCCAGGACAGGAATCCAACGAGGCAGTTTATTGTTTATCTAACCCAAGGCACGCCAGCCCCCGAGACGGGGGCCCGGGCTAGCCTGTGATGCCGGGGCTGCCCCCATGAGGGAGGCGCATCAATACGGGCAGAACTTGTCCCACGAGAGGGAGCCAGTCACTACCAAACGTTCCTTTCTCTCTCTGCTCCATGTGTGGGTGTGGCCACAGCCTCGGTTAGACCTTCCCCTTGCTGCCCACCTCTGCCTGGGCACCCGTGGGCCACTTTAGATTGCACGGCCCTGTGGACTCTGTGCTGGTGCAGGGTTAACAGCACCGTTTGCTCTTGCAGCGGGCCTGACTGGATTCCCAGCGCCCACGTGGCCGCTCACAGTCATGTTCCAGGGACCTGATGCCCTCCCTCTTCTGGCCTCCGTGGCCACAGGCGCACAAGCGCTATGAACATAACTAAATGAACATAAACTAAAACATGGGACTCTGGTGAGGGCCCTGCTTTTGTAACTCGGATTAACACAGGATTGTCGGTAACTTCGGGCATGGCCCTACACAGACTTCTGCCACTTCTGTAACAGTGTGTGTTCATATGTGTGTAGGAGTGTGTGTTCGTGCGTGTGTGTGTGTGTGTGTGTGCGTGTGGGAGTACCGTGAAGGTGGGCACATGTGTGAATGCACGTGTGTCTCACTGACTCTCTGAACCCTGGCTGCCTGGCCCCTCCCCAGTCTGGGACTCCGGTCCTTCAGTGTCTGTGCCCCTCACACGCGGACGGCAGAGGCGTCCGTGCCGGAGCCCCCTCTCCCCAGCCCAGCACGCCTTTTTGTGCTGCTCATTTATCAACACTGTGTTCTCGGCATTGATGACTACAAAATCCACTATCAATCGACCACGAAAAACGAGTGTTGAGGTGCCCTACATCCAGCCGCATCAAGTTCTCAGCCAACACCTGACTCTTCATTCAAACACGAACGTGCGTGTGCTGCCATTTATAATCAAATCTGCATTCGCCTCTGGTAAGTGGCAGATCTTCTAGATGCCTGAAATATTTCAAAAATACATTTGCTTATAATTTATTATCGGTAAGTGTTTTATTTATATACCTATTTTACATTGCTATATACCCAGGGTAACATACACATTTCCTGTGTAAAACAGGGTCCAAATGTAATTCTTTTGTTGGTAGTGGTTGGGTTTCTGTTGTTGATTGGGTGTTTTGCCTGCTTGTCTGTCTGTGTGTGAGGCCAGAAGAGGGCACAGATCCCCTGGGACTGGAGTTACAGATGGCTGTGAGTCTCCACGGGAATCAAGCCTGGTCCTCCATAAGAGCAGCCAGTGTTCCTAACCATTGACCTATCCAGCCCGAGTGCAAAATGTTTAAGAAGCCTGCTCTAGGGCACTCTAGACAACCAGGCAGGAAAATTACAGTTTCTTGATGGTCAAAAGTCCAGCCCTGGGGAGTGGGCATCCCCGCTGGGCAAAGCTGGCCTTCCCCTGGGACCCCTTAACTCCTCAGCCCTGCGCCCACTGCCCAATCACACCTACCTGCAGCAGGAAGTCAAAGAGTGCCAAACGTGCCCACTCCGCGTGCTGGACGCCCAGGCACGAGGAGCCGCAGCCCCGGGCCAGCAGGGCCTGGTACTGCAGCCAGCCCAAGGCCAGGGAGTTCTGGTCCTCCTCCGGGTCTCCCAGGTGCCGCACGTCCGGCGCCCACCAGATGACGGGCCTCGGGCTGCCATCCGTGAAGCGGTAGGGCAGCAGCGGGCTGCGGAAGCGGCGGGCTACGGCCGGCAGGCTCCGCCGGAGTCCCAGCACCCGGTCCACGTGGAAGGACAAGACCTCGTGCAGGTCCCCGGGCCTCTTGATCAGGCCGCAGAGGCCCTGGGCGCAGAGCTGGCTGAGGCGGAGAGGCGGCGCGCCCCGCCGGGCAGACAGTCCGACCTGCAGCACCTGCCCGTGCGCAGGGACCCTGGCGGTGCCCACCACCTCCCCGCGGGCCAGCAGCCCGAGAGTCCGCACGTCACGCTCGGTGAACCACGGTGGGGCCCGGCCCGCGGGCGCAGCGCCGGCCGGCCCCGCGCTCTCCGTGCGGCACCACGCGGACGTCCGCAGCTCCCCCGCGGAGCCAGGCCACCAATGAGCCGCCGACTCGGAGGCGCCCCCAGCCTTCCCACCGCTCAAGGCTCTGTCCTTGGCTCCTGGCAAGGGCACCCCCGGCTGGGGCCTGACGCTCGGCGCCCGGACAGCTGCCTGGCTGCTCCCCGAGAGCCGGGCAACCTGGGGGTCGGCCTTACTCTGTGTCTGGACGGGACCATCCTGCCCAGGCGGGTCCAGGGCTGCCCCTCCTGCCTCTTTGGCCCCATCCTCCATCAGAAGCGCAGGATGCTGGGCGCTGAGCGTCCTCTCTCCCGCCACAGTGACATCTCTCCGGACCCCCAGCGGGTGTCTGTTTCTGTCCACTCGCCCTCCGTGGACTTGCTCCTCGGCACAGACCACGGTAGAATTTCTGGGCCAAGCCCGGCCCCTCCAGAGCTTCCCCAGCCGCTGCCTCCAGTTCGGAGTCTGCCGAGCACCGGCGTTAGGCACGCCAGTTTCCGCCCGAGGCTCCCTGGGACCACGTCCTGGGGTGAAAGCTGGATGCTCTGGGGGAAAGTGGGTGACAGCCACTGCAGACAGGACCAGCAAGAGGCAGGACGCCAGCACCGGCCGCTTCCGGCCCCGCAGCCTTCTCCGCAGCCAAGCCGCCTGCGGACAGGGTAAAAGGGATGGCGTGAGACCTGAGCAAGTCTTCAGCTCCAAGACACAGAACAGTGGCGGCAGACAGCGCAGGAGGGACAGGGCAGCAGGCCGCCTCGCCGCCTCTCGGAGAACACGACAGCCCAGCGGGCTGCCCCCCACTGCAGAGCTTCTTAGCCTTCACTGACGCCCATCCCAGCCTCTCTGGAGACGCCACCACAGAACGCTGATGGCCGCACCTCACAACAGACCCCTCCACACACTGGTCTCTATTTCCGTTTCAAATAAAGCGTCCACAGGAAGTCCAAGTCATGCTAAGAAGACCCGGGCAGGCGCCCGGCCACTGAAGCACATACTGCTCTTCCGGTGGACCCGGGCTCAGCTCCCAGCACCCACCCTAGGCATCTGCTCTCCTCCTCCAGCCTCCATGGATACACACACTCACATGGAATCACACACACACACACACACACACACACACACACACACACACACACAAGGGGATCTTTAGAAAATAAAAAGTAAAGAGAATTTGAAAGGAAAACGGGCCCTCTCCTTCCTTCCCAGCAGAAGCTGTGGCCCTCATCGGAGGGTGTGCCGTCCATTCTGCTGAACAGGCAGTGTGCTCACTTCTGCAGAAACTCCTGAGGTTTCTGCATCAGCTTCTCACTGCCCCTTTCCATGGTAGGGAACCACACAATCCTCATTTTAAGCTGAGAGCAGGAAGACCAGGGCCAATGAGCTGGCGGGGACAGACACATCCCAACATCACTGAGATGAGAGAAAAGGGTTCATGGGAACATTTTTTTTTTTGTGTGTTTTTCTTCTGCTAAAATGAGAGAGGGAGGGAGGGAGAAGGAGAAAGGAAGGGAGAGGGTGTTTTCAAGTTGAATTTATGATCTGTGTTCAAGGGCTGGGCATCCTTAGGAAAAATAAATCGCCTTCTGAGCCAGGCCAGGAGGGCGGGGTGTGTCCTGCTGTCGGGGTTCTTTGGCTTCAGGAAACCTGGGGGAGTTGGCAGATGTGCAGAGAGAGGGGCTGAGTGGGGCCACAGTGTCCCCTGAAGGGCCACACACATGAAGATCTGGGAAAAGAAAGGCTCTGATCAAAGTGAAAAAAAAAAAATCCTCTGAAGATAATACACAGCTAAGTGATGAAGCACGTGTGGAAAGGCAGGATGGTGACGTGGCCTGGTCTGGAGAGTCTTCGGTGGAGCCTCAGCTGACCGTCGCTGCGTGCCAAGGCCTCGCTGCTGCCAGTTCTGCCTATCCAAGCACGTGCAGTGTGTCTGAGAGGACGCAGGGAGGACAGCCGCTCTGCCCTAATGCCAACGGCTACCTTCACCAGGATGCCCTCAGTCCCGGGGGAAGATGCCACGGCCACCAGCCACCTCCTCCCAGAGCTGCAGAGGAGCCAGTGAACTCCAGTCCAGGCCTGGCCCACAGCTGAGAGCCATGTGGAAGCCACCCGCCTCTGTGTCCAATAAAACAGGACTGCTGCTCACAGAGGGCCATAGAAGACCAAGTGAATCGCATTATGTAACGGGCTTGCACACCCTTCCCGTGAGTGTGGGGTCACCGCTGCGCCCTTCCCATGAGTGTGGGACCTTTAGGAAGTCTTGACAGAGGGTCACGGGGGTGGGCGGGCCTTGAGGTTTGATAGCTCATCCCCCCTTCCTGTCCTTTCTCAGCCTCCTGACTGTGGGTGCCATGTGACAAGCTGCCAAGTGCTCCCTGAGGCCCCGTGCTGGGGCTCCCTGAGGCCCCTTCCTGTGACTTCCCAGGGCCCCCTTCCCTATCGTCCGTATAATCTCAGTGCCCCCCAGGTGCTGCCAGCATTGTTACTTTGGCCATGACCGTGATTCTTCAGCCTGCAGAAACACCTCCATGGTGGCAGCTGGGCCCTCCCGAGGTGACGTGTGGCGCCTCTGCCTGCTCAGGAGAGGAGGGTGTCTGCCAGATGCCCGGCTCCAGTCTCAGCCTGTGGACAGTGCGGTTCGGTGACTGGCTGGCCCTGGGGGCCTCCTCCCCCAGCCTCGGCTCTAGCATCATCGTGTCCCAGCTCACAAGAGCACCCGTGCGGCGACGCCACGGCTGATGGAATGCGGCAGACCTGTCATTAGTTAGAAATTTCCTCTGCCACATGTTTTGCTCTGCAATGCTGGGGTGGAGCTGGGGTGAAGCAGAGTCAGAACCCTCTGAACAGTAACATGGCTGCTGCCCCAGCCTCCCAGACACTTGTCCTCTCTAGCTGCCCGGAGGCCCAGACACAGCAGTAGGGCGCAGCTGGGCTCTGTCACAGACCCCTCCTCCTCTGAGGGCATGCCCTGCAGCAGATGACCTGTTCCTAAGCCACCCTGGCCTCCGGCAGGTGGCAAGGATTTCCTCAGCCTGCACCAGGCCTGTGAACCAGGCCCAGGCTCTGTCCTGGCCTGCAGGCCTGTTCTGTTTGGCTTGGCATAAAGCATTTTAAATAAATCTGAGCTGCTGTTGAGAATTCCATTAAAAAAGCATATGTTCAGCTTTCCTAGGAGGGGCGGGGGTTAGCTACAGACACACTGGAGCCTGTGTCCTCACAGCTGCAGCTCACAGGAGCCCCCCCTGACCATGGCCCCGTGGCCTGCCTCAGTGCACACACGAGAACATGCACAGAGCCATCATCTCCCAACACTAAGCTGCCTTTTCTGCCTTTGACATCGCATTTTCTCTACGTGTCTTCATCAGAAGGGGTCGTCTAACCTTGAGAAGACAAAAGCACACAGATCTGTTCTCTCTTCAGGGCCCTCTCCCTTTCTGAGCCTGGTCCCCTGGCCATCAGTGCAGAGCTAATGTGGGTGCGTGAGCTGCTGGCCTTGCGGGGCATCTGCACTTGAGGTCAGCAACACCAGCGTCTTGGTTACGGGTGCACTGGCCACACGGTAAGAGCTCATTTGCCACTTCTGAGTGGCAGCTAGTGTCAGACCACAGAGGCAAGAATGTGCATATCTCACAAAGTCCTGCCAGGCAACTCTGGGAGACACGAATATAGGATGTGAGCGTCCGTCCTAACCACCTAGACAAAGCTCCAGCTGTCCCAGCACTCAGGAGGCGGGGTCAGGGGGAGAGTTCAGGGCCAGCCTGGGTCTCTAAAAGAAAAATGAGAGAGAGGGGGAGGAGGGGAGAAGAGGAGTGAGGGATGGAGAGTGGTAAAGAGGGGAGGGAAGAGGAGGGGAAAAGAGGGAAAGGAGAGGAGGAGAGAAAGTTTTTGCACAAGTCCAGACCAAAAGAAAAAAGAGAGACATTTGCATAGTCTGGTAGTCACCAACAGCATTTCACTGATCAAGGAGAGGATTAAATTAGGGAAATATATAATCTGAGCTTAAGCCATGTCTGACTGTAAAGAATGGCAGTTTTTCTGGAACAAGGTCTGAGGAGCTTGGTATGGGAAAAGCTGAATCTAACTGATTACGCGGGAAGAGATGGCTTGTGTTATCTGATGGTTGATGATGTTGGAAGAGGTGACCCGTGGCTGTGGTTCCCCTTGGATCAGTGGAACTTGGCTAGTCGTCAGGCTTTGTGAGTCTCTATCTACTGAGCTTTAAAATGAGCACAGTCACCATAGCCTAAGCACCTAAAGGATGAAGGACTCGGTAAGATGATGAGTAGGAAATCTCGGCATCTCGGTGTTTTAGCACAATTATCCATTCTGTGATGATGCAACACGGTAAAGCCCCGCACGTCTGGCCTTGCAGCGGAGGGAGCGGCCCTCCACGGCCAGCGGGTGCCTACTGCACAGGAGGAGCTTGAAGACTCTTGCTTTTGCTGTTTGTTTGGTTTTTAGATGCGCTTGTGTTTTGTGTTTTGCTTGCTTGAGACAGGCTCTTGCTATGTAACCAAGGCTGGCCTTGAACTCAGAGCAGTAGTTACTCCTCAGCCTCCGTGCCGTCTAGTTTCACGTCAACGTGACACAGCGTAGCTCACTTGGGAGGAAGGGGGCCCTCGTGAGAGAGTGCCCTGGTGCTCTGAATGCGAATGCCCCAGAGGCTCGTGTAGCTAGGTGCTTAGTCAGTGGGGGCACAGCTATAGGGTAGATAGTTGATAGGGTTAGAAAATCTAGGAGGAAGTGTGTCGCTGGGGGTGGGCTGTGAGGTTTCAAAAGCCCGTGCCCAGTCTCCCTCTCACTGAGATCAGGATGGAGGACTCTCAGCTCCTTCTCCAGCACGGTGCCTACCTGTGTGCTGCCATGCTCCCCGCCATGGTGAGCATGGACTAATATCTGAACTGTTAAATGCTCTCCTTTCTAAGAGCTGCCATGGCCACGGCATCTCCTCACAGCAACAGGACAATGACTAGGACACTCCCCACCACACTGGCCTGTAGATAAGCCTGGGGTGCTTTTCCTAATTAGTGACTGAGGAGGGCCTAGCCCATTGTGGGTGGAGTGGCCCCTGGCCCGTGGCCCTGATAAGTATAAAAAGCGGCTGAGCCAGCCAGTAAGCAGCACCCTCCATGGCCTCTGCATCAGCTCCTGCTCCAGGGTCTGCCCTGTTTGGAGTCACTGCTCTCACTTCCCTCATCCATGGACTGTGGCATGGAACTTGTCGCTAAAATAAATCCTTTCCTCAAGTTGTTTACGGTCACTTGCCTCACCACAATGACAGAAACTGACTGAGACCACCTCTCAGAAGCTGGGGTTCCAGCCATCCTGGCAGATATGTTTATCACTGATGTCCAGTGGCCCAGGAGTGGAGGGCATTATAAGAACTTTTAGGCTAAGTGGCTTTTGATTCTCCCAATGACCAGATCCCATTGACAGATACAACACAGACAGTCTAAATCTTCCTAATGCTAGAGATTATTTGGTCTGTGAAGCCATGGATGAGCGATTCTTAGACAAACGAAAGATTCAGGGTTACAAAGGTAATCAGTGACAATCAAATGTGCTGATTAAATGTGCTAATAAAAATAAATGTATACCATCGTCCCCTGTGGACACAGCGTGGACAGTGAGCCAGGAGGCGTTCAGAGTGTGCTCAGACAGTACCTCACAGTACATCTCCACTCTCCTGACAGAAAATGTCAGTGGGTTCTCTTGGTGACAAAGCAACAGGTAACCACATTCATTATCAAATAAATGCTAGAGCTAGTTAGAGTTCTGTAGAAATAAAGGTGTTAACATTTCAGCCAAGCTCAGGGCTGCTGAACTCTAGGCCTGGGCTACCATGGGCCAGCAGCCCTGAACTAAGTGTTCCTCCTAACCCTTTGGGCCTGTTCTTCCTAATTTACTGTTATGAGGAGAGACTGCAGGGCTGCTATCAAGGTAGTCCTCTCTAGTCCAAGCCCTTCTTCCAGGGAGCTTCAAGCGAAGGATTTCGATGTTTACTCTACCTGGTGCCCGGAAGAACCCATGGCAAGCCAGCCCCAGAGGCCAAATTCAGGCCTCCTTTGCTGTGTTAAGGACAACTTCCCTGCCCCCAACCCCTGGGTGTGGCTGTGTGCTCACACGCAGTGTCTACGGCACAGTGTGCACAACTCTACCAGCAGACACTGTGACCCGAAAGGGAAACTGAGGCTAAGGGTTACCCGTTCACAGACTAGCCTCAGGCAGTGGGCAGAGTTTGAATACAATCTCAGTCAGAACCCGCCTTCTGAGCCCTTCGTGATTTCAAACTACAGCAAGGCCGGGATTGTGAGAGTCTAAGCCCATCGCCACAAAGGGCAGCAAGTGTGACAGAGCAGCCAGGAACTCTCCTCAGCCCCAGGGAGGTGACTAGACAGGGTCTAATTAGACAGGGTCTAATGCCCTCAGCCAGCCATGCCTGCGCCCAGGGGAGAGGAGGAAATTTAACCGGGGTTTCTGAAAGAAAGGACACAATAGCACCTTTGTCTATAGTAGCATCTGGGGAGAAGTGCGCTGGCTGACCAGTGGGGCCAACTGGACCAACGCCTGCAGAAAGTCTGCCGTGCACAGGCCCAGGGAAGCTCCTGAGGTGCCCACGAAGCGGCTCTGTGGTGGCCACAGGGCCCGGGCAGCACACACTGCGGGAACAGAGCCACCCTGTCCTGGAAGCTGACTGTGCCCCACGTGGCCCCTGCACAGCCACTGCAGCCTCCGGCCCTCAGATGGCTCACAGACTCGGCTCCCACTGGGCTCAGAACTCAGGAAGCTCCAACCACCGCCTCCCTCAGCCTGAACCCCACTCTGGCCCTCTTGCACCTCTGCGTCAGGACAGCTGGCTGTGAGCTGGGCAGCCAGCCCTTCTGCGGCTGCTTTCCCGCCAATCACTGCCAGAGAGTTAGAGACCCTGAAACAGGCGGGATTCCACACAAGGGGGAATTGCTTAAAGAAGAGAAAGGTGGTAAGAGCTTTTCAAACACAGGTGGACCTACTGCTTCATCTTCACTGTCAAGGTGACTGGGCTGGGGCTCTCTAACAGGCACATCTCTTGGGGGTGTCTGTGGAGTTTTCAGAAAAGTCTCCCTGAGGAGGGAGACCCACCTGAATATGGGTAGCACTGTCCCAGGGCCCGGGGCTCTTGGCTGAGGAAAAAGAAAGCAAGCAAGCTGGCTACCAGCACCGTCTCAGCTTCTTGGCTGTGTGTGGCCTGAAGCTCCTGCCCATGCTTTCCCTGCCTCGCTGGTCTGTACCCTCAAACCGTCTGTCACATAAACCTTCCTTCCTCACCTGCCTTGTTTTCAGGCATTCTATCACAGCAGCGAGAAAAGAGCTACTGCAAAGGGAAATGCCTGATAACCAAGTCAGCAAGATTTAAAGGAGCAAGTCTGTCAGAATCGCGCCTCATCCCTACATTAAAAATATCAATGGCATTCTGAATCTTACAAGGAAAGCACAGACAGACAGAAGGAGAAATCCAGAAACTGTGCAGCCCAGGAGATAGCTGGCCCGAGGCTGCGGCCCACTCCATACAGACCATCACAGACACGCCACCTCTCTAACAAGGACTGCCACGGAGCACACCTGCTCTGGGCTTCACAGAAACCATGCCCCTGGCTCTTGACACCCCCCCACACACACACACAAACACACTGTCTCCTGCTTCTCTCCTTCCTTTTGGCTGCTAGTTTTCCTGTGAGGTCCAGGCCAGAGTCCTTCCTCTCCTTCGGGGAGGGGAGGAGGAGGGTCCTGTGTGTCTTGGGATTCTCGCTCCGGTACTGCAGCACACAGCCTGTAGAGGCTTCAGATGTCACCAAGCACGCCCAGCAACCAGGCCAACCTTTATTTCCTGCCGGAAACTTCGGCACACGCCATGGTGGGACAGAGCCAATCAGGTTTCTCCTGTTGACACTGTCTCCTCAGCCAGGCCACAAGGCTCAACCTGTACCTGTGAGGAACCCACGAACAGGACCAACCACCATTCAGCCGTCACACCAGAAGGAAGCAGCATGCTCTGGCAAGGGGCAGCGCCACTGAGAAAAGCCATCTCAGAGCATCGTGTGCCACAGCCAGAACCCGGCTCACAGCACCCTCTCAGGCAGCCAGGACACACTCCCAGGCCAGCTCACAAGGAAAGGCTCTCCTCAGAGCTAGTGTAACACATCTCCATGTCTCTCTCTCCTTGTTGCTCCCTAGCCCCAGCCCGTCCACAGTTGTTAGCCAGTTCTTGGCTGATGGCATTTCTGGAAAAATCACTCCCCAACTTGGCTCCTAAGCACAAAGCCACAAGCCTGTTGTCCCAGCCAAGACTGGAAGATGTGAATTCTCTGGATGGTACTGGAAGATGATATTTGCTCATTGCAAGCAAACACCTTCCAAAGCCAAACAAAAACTGCCCACAAGTCAACAGTGTGTGACACAGCCCCTTCCAGCACCACTTACGAGAAGCCCAAGTCCATGGCCAGCAGCAGGGAAGTGGGCTGAAGGCTGCCATGGCTGCAGGTATCGCCCGCTCCACAGCAGGGTGGCTAGCTAGGCCTGAAGCCAGGAGCGGGGAGCCAGGTGGCTGAGCTGGCATCAGAAACCCCAAGCAAGACAGCAGTAGGGATGAGTGGGTGAAGGCATTTGCCACCACCCTGAGCTCAGTCCCCAGAACCCACACAGTGGAAGAACGAACACACTCCTAACAGTGGCCTGCAACAGGGTGTACCGTGACACCTCAGACTGCACGCTGTGGCCCACACTTCTGGACAGCAGGCTTGCTCCCAGACCAGAACCCAGCAGAACCTCGGCCGCACCTGCACCTCCAGCCATGCCTCTTCTCAGACTTGCTCTTTGGGAGCTTTGCAGAGAACGTGTGAGGCCTGAGGAGAGGCCAGAAGCAAACGGCCTCAGGGTCCCCTGACACCCCGCGCCCACTGCTCAGGCCTCCATGTCTGGCCCTCACGACTGCACCAGAAACTGCTCCCATCTGACCTACTTCCTACAAAGGATTTCTCCTGAGTCCCCGTCCATGGGTCAGCTTCCCAAGAGGCATCTCTGGGAGCTCCCACCTGCCCCCCAAAACCTGGAGAGAAAGGGATTTCAGAGCAGGGAGTCATGAAGCCAACAAAGAGACACTCCAGCCCACCCCCAAACCCACACACACACATGCTCACTCGCATCCTGGAACCCTGGGCTGCAGGTTTTCTAGTAGAAGCAGAGAGCATGTCAGTCTGCCCTGAGGGTTTCTAAAGAATTGTTTTCCTCTCTTGGTGCCTGTGAGGCTGGAAAACAATCCAGTCCTCAGAGCCTGGACTCCTCAGATGCCCGGGCTCCCCGTCTGGCAGGGGGAGGGGAGGGCGGCCATCAGGACCTCTGCAGTACAGGTGGCACATGGCATCTTCTACAACGCCAATGCACCACTGAGCACAGAACATGTGGCATTCATGCATTCTGGGAGGGAAGGGATGACTTCAATGGCTCTCCTCCATCGTTATCCCTGGGCGCTCAGGGGAGGCCTCTCCTCTCCTCCAGGTGTTGCGCTGAGGTGACTGCTCAGCTACCATGTGTGGGGTCCTTGACCAGACTCCTGTGTCACTACCCTCTTCCGAGGGCACTTGTTATCCCAAATTCTGGGCAGAAATGAAAGTCGCTGAGGCCCCATGAAAAGCTTGAGGGGTAACTGTGGCCTGGGTGTGCGACCCCTGCACGCCTTCGAGGCCGCCTGCCCTGGCACCGCCTGGACCCACTGCCCGGTCCCACAGCTCCTACCATGTGCCCGAGTGTACTCCGGCAGTCCCGGGGGTCAGCCTCTGGAAGGTTCATCCCTGGAGCACAGGCTGCCCAGGCTGCGGTCCACACCTTTCCTGCCACCAGATCCCGGGGAAGGGGCAACACAGTAGATGCTCCGCGCCTGGGTCCCAGGCCCTGCTGCAAGCTGCCGCCAATGGCTGGGGACCTGTCCAGAGTTTGCAAAGTCCCAGTCTAGTGGCGCAGCCCAGCCTCCCCAGTCCCCAGAAAGCACGGGAGGGGGAGGCCCCTTTCACAATAAAAGCCCTACCCACTTCTGGCCAGCAGCAGCCGCCTGGAGCGAGGGCCCTGGGGTTGGGAAGGAAAGAGTCCCTTGCCAGCCCTGCTGGATTCAGCACCAGGGCTAGGCTCAGAGGCGCCCCAATCACGCCTGTAAGGTGTGAGGGTGCAACCCATGAGGCCCGGGCCAGTCAAGGACTCCCCACACTGTCCCTCTGCTCTGTGAAACCTCAGGAAGACAAGCCTGCTACTGGCACCTCTCCAGTTGCTTTGGGCGCAATGCCCAAAGGCAGTTTGGAAGGAAATCCATTCACCAAGGAAGGTCATTAACAACGAGCAGACCCTCCTTCAAGGGGCCGGAGTAAGGTACTAGTACTGGGCACTGGCCTGGGCGCAGACAGTCCTTTGTGGCCCTGGGGCTGGTCACAACGGGGCCAGACTAGAGGGTCTGCATTGGGATTGGCATCTCGACTGCAGGTTCTTGCTGGCCTCACTGGTAACAGGTAGCTGGTGGTGGCCAAGGAGTCCCTGGACCTCTGAGAGCTCTGGCCCCTGGAAGCCTGATGCTTGGAACTCAGGGTTTTTTAAGGGGAGGTAGGTAATGGGTGGAGGTTGGGGCAGAATGGTCGGCAGGAGAGAATTTTGGAACCAAGCTGAAAATGACCTGCCAGGATTTCAACTCTCAGGGTCGCCACTAGGTGCATGAGCCACCCTCAGGCCCCCCAGGCTACTTCAGGTTGCTGCCGATAGTGGCACAACTGAAGGAAACCGGGGACCCCGGGCGGCCCATGCTCGACAGCAGCAGTCATCCCGAACGCTTCCTGCGCATCGTAGCGTTGGGCCACCACAACCGGTGCTAAGGGGCGCTTACAGGGAAGGGCCTGCGGTGGGTAGCCCGGCTGCAGCGTAGAGCGTGAACCACAGCGAGCCGCGTGGCCAGGGGTGTGCGCACAGCCAGAAGGCTGCCAACTCCTGTGTGGAGGAAGAATGCAAAAAAGATGGGTCCACGCGGCCACGTAGTGGCCTCTCGGTGTTTAGGGAAAAGAAGGGTGTGGGACGGAGTCTCTGTCTGTACACATTAGACAGACACATGTGCGTGACCCTCGACAGAAACACATGTGGATAAATTTCCCGAAACCTTACTTTGATGGTTAATGTTTTAGGGTTATTTTATTAGTGTCTGCCTACGTGTGTGTACCATATTGCGCAGTGCCCATGGTGGCCAGGTGTCAGATGCCCTGGAACTGGGGTTATGGGTGGTTTTGAACTGCTGTGTGGGTTCTGGGAATCAAACCCACATCCTCTGCAAGAAAAGCCAGTGTTCTTAAATGCGGAGCCACTCTTCAGCCCCACAAGGCTAATTTCAATTAACTTGAGGTAACTAGAACCAAAGGGTTGTCTAGACAAGGCTGGCCCGTGGGCCTGGGAAGGACCTTCTCGTGTTGAGCTAGGAAGCCCCACCCTGAGCGGACAGCACTGGTTCCCAGGCTGGAACTGTAGACTGGAGAAAATGGAGTCAGCTGAGCTTAACACACATGCTTTCACTGCTCTGCTCCTGAGTGGATGGGGTGCGATCAGGTTCCGGCTGACTTGGCTTCCCCCAGTGATAAATGATACCCTGGAGGGGTAAGCCAAATAAACCCTTTTCCCTTGAAGTAGCTTTTGCTACTTCATCACAGCAACAGGAAACAAAAACAATTACTTCATGTGATGCTTCCATATACTTTTAAATTTTACTTAGAGTATGCGTGTGTGTGCACACGTACATTCGTGTGTGTGTGTGTATGTGTGTGTGTGTGTGTGTGTGTGTGTGTGTGTGAATGTGTGGATATGGAGGTCAGAGGACAACGTGCTGGAGTCCGCTCTCTCCTTCCACCATGTATGTCCCATGTATGCAACTCAGATCATCAGGCTCGGCACCAATCAGTTACCTGCTGACCTATGACACACCCTGATGATGTTTTTTATTTTATAAATATTCTTAATCGTGGTCTCAAGATACCTTGATTTCACTGACATCTGCTAATGCATAAGGTTGAAAGAACCTGTGCTAACAAAAGCAACAGACGAGCCCAAGTGAAGGTTCCACAATTACAGGCCCGACCTGCTCTTAGAGAGGGCCCAGGCAGGGTGCTCATCCCAGCACTCGAGTCTGCGGCTCCCGGCTGACTGTAACCCCCTCTCCAGCAGATCTGATGCCCTCTGCATTCTCTCAGCTGGCCTGAGCACTGAGCTTCCGAGTTGCCTGGCAGGCTTGGATCCGTCCAGGCAGCACATAAATGCTTTTATACAACGCTTGAGAGGGAACAGCACCCTCACATGGCCAACGTATCTCACAAACATTGTTCTGGCTTTGACTAACGAGCCTCTACCCAGCTTCTGTACCATGCCCTGCTCTCAGAGGGGGAGAGAGAGAACTTGAGTTGAGGCAGGAGGATCTCTGTGACTTCAAGGCCAGCCTGGTCTACAAAGCACCAGGACAACCACGGCTACACAGAGAAACCCAGTCTTGAAAAGAAGCAGCAAACAAAAGGACACAAGTGTCTGCTTTGTGCATCTTAACGAACAACTTTAATAAAGTAAAAAGCATTCTGTCTACAGAAATGTGTTTGGCTACAGAGAGGCCTCCACTGGACAGCAGTGACTCAGCCATGTCTTCCTGGCTTAGAGGAATGCCTTCACCCTGGACACCTCTGCCTCAATCAGCTGCGCATACTTCCTCACTTTTGAGATGTACCCTGGAGGGAAGTCACAGACTCTGTCAGCCACCTTAACCTATTTCAATATAAAGGTGATTTAAAATTTTTAATGTTGCCATAAAAAGCAAAAACAATTTCCTTGTTCTACTTGTTACTGTACAGAGCCACAAATGTAGTAAGTTTGCAAAGCTGAGAGTGTAGAAGTGTGACTATACATGTGACCAGTAAAATATTTAGATTTTTATTCTAAACGTCCCTCTTAATAGAAGCATTTCAACATACAAAACTCTGAAGAACCTGTATGTAACTCCAATCAAATTCATGAGGGCACACACCGAAAGTTTAAAGACATGAAGGTAGGCAGGGATGGGTTGCAAAGAGGAAGGAGATTAGATAGTAGGTGTGTGTGAGGGGTAACAGAAAATATGATCAAAATAACATTTACTCATGAAAGAAAACGTCATAATGAAACGTTGCATATGATTAAAATACATTTTAAAAGCTTTTTGTAAAAGCTGAAAAGTGACTTAAATGGAGCATGGCTGAGGATGGAACTCTGGCTCAGCATGCACCTAACACACCTGCAAGGTCATTAAAAGCTCCTGAAGGGCGCCGTGTGCTACAGTACGCATGAAGCGACGAGTCCCAGGGCGAGCCAGAGTGTCGCCACCTGGAGCTGACTCGTAAGCCCTTCCACCCAAGAACCACCCAAGTAAGCCCTGACTCGTAAGCCCTTCCACCCAAGAACCCAAGAACCCAAGAACCCAAGCAGACATGTCTGGCGCAGAGCCTCACCCAGAAAAGCCAGGTGCATGAAGTTCTCCAGCACCACCTCCTTGTACAGCGCTTTCTCATCGAGTCTCAGGCTGGCCAACTCCTGCTCCGTGAAGTACAACAGCACATCTTCACAAGTCACTGTTTCCTGGGACGACAAATAACAGCTCTGCTAGACCCCAGACAATCCCGGGAGTAACTGTATGCGGATCAAGTGTAAAGTACAAACCGGGCCACGTGCCAGAGAACTGTTAACCAAATGCATTCTCCACCATCTAGCAACTTCAGCCCCTCACCCACACTCACACACTCACATGAGAATGTTTGCCTCTGTCCATCAAAGACAGGGCTGCAGCTGGGGTGGTGGACTGCTCGTCCAGTGTCTTCTGGCCAAACCTGCGCTGGGGGGGAGAGGCTTTATCGGGCTTACACCTCCACACTGCAGCCCACCACTGAAGGTCGGGACAGGAATTCAAGCATGGCAGACACTTGGAGACAGGAGCTGATAGAGGCCTAAAGGGGTGCTGCTTACTGGCTTGCCCACCATGGCTTGCTCAGCCTCCATTCTCACAACCACCAGCCCCGGGGTGGCCCCATCTACAATGGGCTGGACCCTCCTCCATCAATCACTGATTAAGAAAAGGCCCTGCAGGCTTGCCTACAGCCTGACTCTTGTTTTTTTGTTTGTTTGTCTGTTTCAGGAAGGAGTGTATTCAGAAAGTGTTTCTCTGCAGCCTTGGCTGTCCTGGACTCACTCTGTAGACCAGGATGGCCTCGAACTCACAGAGATCCACCTGCCTCTGCCTCTTGAGTGCTGGGAATTAAATGCATGTTATAGCCTGACTTTTGAAGGCATTTTCTTAATTGAGGTTTCCTCCTCTCAAATGACTTTAGCTTGTGTCAATTTGACATAAAACTATCCAGCACACCTACAATGTGCAAAGCCCTGGACTCAATACCCAGGGCAGGGCAGGGGGATATCTTTTGGCTGAAAAAAAAAAAAATCCATTGAGTAGAATATTTGTTTCACAAGCACAAACACAGGACTTCAGGTCCCCATCACCCACACAAAAGCTTGGCATGGGGGCAGGTTTCTGCAACTCCAGTGCTGAGGGAGGGGTGTGGTGGAAGTCTTGGTTGTGCTGTTGGGGTAAGTTTTTGTTGTAGCCCCAGGTGTGGGACACAGGAATGCTTTGCCCATAGCTGCCAGCAGCCTCGTGATCTGTCAGCTGATAAATCACCTCCTGAGAGGGTGTATGATTCTTGTCAGCAGGAAACTGCCTCGTGCAGGGGGGATGGTTTTACCAGCTGAAAAACATCCTGGTGCAGACTCTGAGAAGGTAGAAATTGGAGCGTGGGGGCGGGAGGGGGAGACAGACAGAAAATGCTTTGCTCCAGAGAGAAAAGCTCCGGAGAACTCTTGGTGGCGCTCCTGCTGCTGGTGGTCCTTGTTGCTGCTTTGGCTATGGCCGGATTGCTGGTCTGTTGGTTTGCTGGCTATCTTGATGACAAAGAGTGGAATCGCCCCAAGGAACTCCAGCTAAAGAGGTCTACATCCCCTGTCCCTAATAACCTTCTTTATCTTCTACCTAGGGTTGGGGGCTTAGAAAGGAGGTAGAGTCTTGAGGACCCACAAATAAAGTGGGTTTTAAAAAGTCAAAACCTACAGAGGGGAGATCCCAATGGCTTAGGAAAGGACACAAAATGGAACATGTTAAAGAATTAACATAAGGGATGGTTATATGATTGTATTTCAAAACCAAGTTATACAATTAAAACATATATGTAAGTTAAACCTCAGTGATAAATTTCTAAATTAAACTGTACATTAATGTAAATACACATATAAGTACATGTTTATATATTTGCATACACAAATGTGTGTGCATATATGTACACATGCAGTGCATACCATTGTAAACCCACACATATGTACAGAAACAAAGATAACCCAGCTCACCCGAGGCTCAGCTTTTATGGAGATATTTTCCATTATCAAATCTTTTAGTCTTGTAGTAAATACAGGCTTAAAACTTTCAGAACCTGAAGGTAAACAGAGAAACCATTAGTAATAATAGCTCTATTTGACTTCTGCAAACAGTCACTGATCCATCCTGTTTGGAAGGCCCTGTGAGCATGGTTCATCAGTTACTTCTTATCAGTGGCAATCCTAGTCTTAATGAGGTGTTTAGAAAGCAGGCACATTGGAGAATGCAAAATGGAAGAACGAGATCATCTAAGAAAAAAACTATCATTTCGGTAATACAAAGACAACATCAGGGAAAGATGACGAAGTAGGAAAAACAGTGGACAGATTTTATGAACTGTTCAAAGAAAGCCTGCATTCCAGGTGACAGCCACAGGGCCCAGATGCAGAAGGAATGAGTGGTACCGTGAAATCCATTCACTACTGGGTGACCTCAGAGCCAGCCTCTCCATGCTACTTTATAATAGTGTCTTTTTAGTAATACAAAGCAAACACTTTAAAGATGGGTTTATTAGGAATATTTTTATGTTGTGTAAATACAGGTTGTTAGGCATCTCCACGGACAATGCCAAGGGACCTGACAGACGGAACATCAGGCATCTGTGAAGCCACCTACGGACCACCTGAAACCACCTGCCCATGCTCTGGGTCACTTTATAAGAGAACTCGAACAAACTCCCTCTCTTGCCCCACCCAGAGACAGTCTCTGTGACGTGATCCCTTCCCTTAATAAACCTCCCATGTGGAACCAGTCGTGTGGCATGATTTGTGAACCTGCCATGTAATTTTGCTGCACACTCCTAATATTGGCGTGCTTGGCAGGGAATAGGTGCTTTCAGTGGCATGATGGGTGCTTTCGGCGCTAGCACCCACCGGGGCTGCTGGGAACCTATTTCATTTCAAATCCACCTGCAACCCACTTTCCAGCAACCAGATCGATATCTGCTGCATTCAACACTGGCTGGATTGGGGAGTTCCCTCACTGGTCAGAATAAATGTCTCTCTTGGTAGGGGAAGATTGACTGTTGAGCATCTGGCAACTTCCTACTACCTATTGAGACAGAGGAATCCCCAAACACAATCTTCACTGGCTACAGTTGACCCTTTTTGCTGACCTCCATTTTGGGCTTCCTCTTTCCCTTGGGTGAGGTTTTTTTTTCCCCTTCTACATGCTCGGTTTCTCTACGAAAATCCTAGCGCTAGGCAAACTGTGTCTCCTACAGGAAGCTGTGCCCTTGGTCTCTGGCCAACACTGATGAGCTGTTGGATCAGGTAGGGCCATACTCTACTGAGTTAACCCTTGTCTTTGGGACGCCTCTGGAAGGTCACTGACTCCTACCCTCCCAATGGGAACTGCCCATTCATCCATTCCTCCAGTGTCCCCACTGGGATGTCTTCTGGAGAATTTTAAAACCGTACTCATAGAGCCTGAGTTAAGGGCCTCTAAGCTCATATGCCTCTGTAATAAAACTTGGCCTACATATTCCTTAGATAGTTCAAATTGGCCAATTAACGGCACATTAAATCCCAATATTTCACGGGATCTTTTTAATACTGTCAGCAATCTCGTACATGGAAGGAGGTGTCTTGTGTTCAAGCTTTCTTCTCTGCTCTAAACCTTCTCTCTACTCTTCCTGTTTTCCTACCCAACTTCTTCTAGCTATATAGTCTCAACCTCCAGAGTTCTCTGACTTTGACCCCATGGATGAACCGCCACCTCCCCGTTCTCCACCTCCGGCTTCTTCTCAACCTCCAGCTTCCCCCTCCTCCTCTTCTTCCTCCTCTTCCTCTTCGGCTTCTCCAGCATCCTTACCCATCTCTCCAGCCCTTCCCCAGCAACAGGCTGTCCTAGTCCTACTTTGGCACCTACTTTCACCCCACCAACAGCTCTTAGCCCCTCTGCTACCCACTCTCGCTCCACAGCAAAGACCTCTTCTACTCAGCATAAACCAGCCTCAATTCTTCCCTTGCAGGTGAGCAGTGTGGATGGCTTAGTTAGGGTGCATGTTCCCTTCTCATTAACTGAACTCTCAAATAGGAAAGAGACTAGGATCCTATACCTGTAATCCTTCTACTTTCATTAAAGAATTCCAATATCTCACTCAATCTTATAGTCCCACCTTCCATGACACATATATGATTCTTACCAATAGCCTATTACCTGAGGAGCAAGTTTGGGAACAGGCTAGAACACATGCAGCTGAGGTTCACCAAACAAACGCAGCACACCTGGTTGGGGCTGAGGTGGTGCCCCACCAGGATCCACAATTATAACCTGGGGATTATAATACCCCAGAAGGCATTTTAGCTAGAGATCAGTTCACAACTGCCTCCTGGCTGGTTTCTGTAAGGCTGCCCTTAAGCCAGTTAATTATGAATAGCTCCAGGAGGTCATTCAGGACAAGAATGAAAACACGTTTCAATTCCTAGAGTGCCTTACAAAGGCCCTCTTACAACATAGTAATCTAGAGCCGGAAAGTATAGAGGGTAGGCAACTTCTGATGACCTATTTTTTCTCCTGGGGTTACCCTGACATCAGGGCTAAGCTTAAATACTTGGGGAGAGCGGACCTCTGACTCCACAGGCAGAAGTCAGCGCTGGCCTTTAAGGTGTAACATGGAAGAGGTGAGAAAGCCTGCAAGCAAAAATACCAAATGCTGGCTAAGGCCATCCAACCGGCCTCAGCAACTACCCAGGCTCCCTTGCCTCCTAAGGCATGAAGACCAGGGGTCCCTGTTTCAAATGGGGTCCAGTTTTGTCCTAATCCCTGCAAGCCACCGGGGCCATGTCCAAAATGTCACCAAGAGGGACACTGGGGTATTGACTACCACCATTTCTCCCATGATATGGGGGCATCACTCCCAGATCGCCCTCTGACCGATATCCTACGCCTAGCTACAGACGACTGAAGGGGCCTGGGTTCCCTTGACCTGACCACTGCCATCACTAGCAGTATCCACGGGTAATTATCATGGTATTGGGGCGGCCCATCTCCTGCCTTGTGGACACCGGAGCCACTTACTCAGTCCTGATGGAGTACTGGGGACCAACCTCTCCTTGTAGTTCCTCCATTGTCGGGGTAGGGGACAGCCCTGCCAGCCTTGCCTGACTCCACCACTTAATTGTATTTCCAGGGGTGATCCCTTGACTTATTCCTTTTTAGTGAGGCCAACCTGTCCAGTTCCCAGTTTCCCAGACAAATCTACAAAAGCAAAGGGAATAGGTCCAGGCCTCTAGCTCTTGGGCCTTCAAGAACCCCATATGGAAATGGAGTCTTCCCTTCCTCACACCTCTTCTGCTCGTCTTTCTGCTTTTGCTTTTTGCACCCTGTTTTATTAACTTCCTCTCTACATCCCTCCAACAACAAATGCAAAAATTCTCTAACCAAACCATTAATCAGTTACTCTTAGAGGATTATCAACCTCTGCCCACAGAACCAGATGACAATGACCTTCCAATTGACCCTGATGGTGAGGACCAGCTACACCCTGAGAATGACAACACCCTAATCAGCAGGAAGTAGCTTAAAGAGAGCAAAGATCTCCCCTATGCCCTCCCTACCATCACCCCTTCCTAGCGCCTCACTTTTTAATAAAACAAAAAGGGAGGACTGTTGGGATCTGTAAGCAGGCATCTCTATGGCCATTATCAAGGGACCTGACAAGTGGGACATCGGGCATCTGTGAAGCCACCCACGGACCACCTTCGGACCACGTGCACATGCTCTGGGTCCCCTTATAAGAGAACTCGCTCCCCCCCCATCTCTTGCCCTACCCAGAGCCGGTCACTGTGACCCCTTCCCTTAATAACCTTCCTACGTGGAATCAGTCGTGTGACGTGATTTGTGAACCTGCTGTGTAACTTTGCTACACAATCCTAACACAGGTTGCTTGTAATATACTTATTCAATAATAACAGTGACGAGTGAGAAAGAAAACAGTATCATGTTAAAAAAAATCTACCAACTTCACAACATGATTCCAAATATTCTAGTATGGGGACACAGCGCAGTTTCGTTTCTTAGAATTTACACCCTTGGTAAACTCATCCTTTAATAATTAAAGTGGATGAGCAAGATGTACATTTTGAAGACAGTATCTAACAAGCGAACGGCTGTCTGCGGCCCAAGTATCTAATTCATAAAACCGTGAAGAGGATAATGAGGGGTATAAAGAGCTAAATCAAGGCATTTTTCATATAAAAATTGAAAACTCTTCTACCTAGCACACATTAGGTGCTTTATTAAAAGCACCTGTTGGGGAGTTAACATTAGTACAGTCTAATTTAAATTTCAGGGCTCTACGCGCGAGTGGCGCGCTCCAGATTGGTGGGGGAACCTGCACGTGGCAGAAGTCCCGCTGTTTGGCTGCTCGACATCTCAGCTCATGAACATCACAGGGGCCTGATTTCCTGAGACAGAAACGTCTTCAAGGCTGTCCAGCAGCTGGTCAGCAGCCGGGGTTTGAGGCCCGGAAGACACCTGCCGACACGCGCGGCCCGCGGCGCCTTGCCTGCTCCGCAGGCGGCCGGCAGAGCGCGCGGCCCGCTTCCCCGCGTGTGCGGGCCACGGTCGGCCCACGTGTCCTCTCCCGCCGGCGCGAGGCCTCCCGCTGCCCCAGGCCGCCCCTTCGGCGGACTCGGCCCCTCAGCAGGACGCGGCCCGCCTGGCGTCCACGCCGCCGACACTCACTTCTGCCTCAGGTCCCGCCACACCCACCTACCTGGCGCTGGGAAAAGCCTCGGCGGCCTCGAGGCAACCGGAAGTTGCTGCGCCGTGACCCTCGGGAGTTAAAGACTGCTGGCCCGGAAATACGTCACGCGGCTCCCGGCCAATCCCCGGAACTCTCTAGGTGTCTCGGAGGACCCGTGGTCTTGGCGGTGCCCGGCTTTGGCTTCCGGTGGGGCAGGCCTCAGGCAGAGACATGCCGCGGTGGGAGTGCTGTTCCACGAGGACCCGCAGGAGGGCCGACACCACTGAGAGACCCTGACTGTGTCCTGTCCCGCAGGGCTTGCCGAACAGTGCTGCTCAGCTCCTGTTAGAACCTTAGGAGCAATCAGAGGGGAGGCAGAGCTGAACAAGGCTGGATTCATTCTGGAAGTATTAACGCCTTCCGGGGAACCTTGAGGGCTGGTCAAACAAGAGTCCGGGGGTGAACTAAGTGATCTAACTGCATACCACGAAGACACTTCGCATCCAAAAAGGTGTGCAAAAGTCTTGTGTAGAATCTGGGCCCAGGGAGCCTGTGGAGACCGATGCACCAACTGAGACCCATGCTCAGAGGTAGCCCAGTTTCATGTGGGTTACCGAGTAAGGGGAACAGGGCTGTCTCTGACATGGGCTCTGTTGCCTGCTCCTCAATCACTTCCCCACAGCAGAGCTGCCTTGCCAGGCCACAGAGGAAGAGGATGCAACCAGTCCTGATGAGACTTGATAGGCTGGGGTTTGTTGCTAAGGGAGGACGGCTTCCCCTTTCTGAGAACTAGGGGAGAGGGAGAGGAGAAGGAGGGAGGGCGGGACCAGGAGGAGACAAGGGAGGGGCCTACAATCGGGGTGTAAAGTGAATAAATAAACAAACAAATAACTAGAGCGTCTTGTGTAGGAAGAGCAGCAGTGCGGGAAGGAGGTGCCTGTACAGTCTTTTTGAAATCTTTAGACTGTCCTTCCCAGCGAGGACTCCAGCACCACCGGACGGTGCTTGTCTTGCTCCTGCGGCCACTCTCGAGTCTCAGACACTTGGGCTCCACACCCTTCTAGCTCCTACTGAACTCCTCTTTGTTAGCTTGGAGATGGGGGGCAAAGTTGTGAGCAACTCAACATCGCCAGAGCCCTGGCCCACGTGTAGACCTGTGTAACGTGGAGAACGTGAGTGCGCTCTAGACATGAGAAAGCTGCAGCTAGCTGGGAAGTCGAGTGCCACAGAGTACTTCAGCTGGCAGGTGGGGCGAGACGGTACCAGCTATGGTGGTAGATGAGGGACAAAATTACCTCAGTGGAGCTAATACCTTCTGCCCTCTGCTTTGCTACAAGCTGGGATGGCAGTGGGCCAGACTTCATGCATAGTCTTCAGAGGGCTGCTTTGGGTTGGATCAGGGTGTTGTCATGGAGCAGGTTTTAGAATTAAAAATTTTGGAGAAGGCAGATGGTGATTGCTGTGTCTTTGGGTGTGAAGAGTTTAAGTTAGCCTGGGTGACTCCATTTTGAAATGAGGACCCATCTTGACCGGGAGCTAAACTCAGGTACCAGGAAATATCACTGAATGTGCACTTGGCAGAAAACAAAGTTAACTCTCCTAGCAACAGCCTCCAGGAAATATCACATAAATACTTGATAGAAAATAGAGACAATCTCCCTGGCAATAATTAATGAGAATCGGTTGGGAAAATTTTCCCCAAAGTTGCAGATGTAGTTTAGAAGAAATGCAATTGTGATTATGTAAGAGGTCACCCAATCCTGTAATGCCAAGGCATGAACCCCCTTGCTTGCTGCCATGGAAACCCCCTGCTTGCTTTTTTTTCCCTTTAAAAATCCTGCTCGCTCAGAGTCACTGCTGCGTCAGTGAGACTTGGGTCCCAAATTCGATCACTCTTGTAATAAAGCTCTCTTACAATTGCATCGAGTCGTCTCCTGGTGGTCTCTGAGGATCCTGGCATAACAGGTGGTGTCTTGAACGGTATCTAGGAGACAAAGGGGTCCGGTGGTTGAGATCTAACTGATTTTTATTTTATGTGTGTTTGTGTTTTACCCACACACACGTGCAGGCAGTGCCCACAGAGGCCAGAGGAGAACGTTAGCTCCTCTGCAGTTACAGGTGGCTGTGAGAGGCCATGTGGGTTCTGGCAAGCTTAATCCTCTAAAGAAGCAGTGAGCGCTGTCAACTGCTGAGCCATCTCTCCAGCCCCTGCGTTAGTTTAAGACACGGGTCCAGGCGCTGGAGAGATGACTCAGTGGCCACGAGCACTCGCTGCTCTCAAAGAGGACTAGAGTTCAGTTTCCAGAAGCCCCTTCAGGCGGCCTGCAACTGCCTCCGCTCCAGTGCCCTTCTCTAGCCTCCTAGAGCACCATATCATGTGTGTATACACACGCAGATACGCCCACACATACACACAAATAAAGGTAATTGTGTTTGAAAGACGGGATACAAAGGTTAACTATTAAAAACTGTGGATATCTGTTGGAGGGAAATCAACTCCAGGCCTACTGAGCACACAGTGTCCTGGTGCTCGGGCCCCAGCACCTCCTGGGTGGTGCTGCAGTGCCTTTCGGGCTAGCCCTCAGTTTGTGGCCACTGTAAGTGGTCTTCAAGTGGCCAGTTGCACGTGTTTCCCACCCTCTGGCCATCCTTCCTGCTCTGAGACTACAGAGCCTGGCTTCCCCTGTAGGGGATCGGCTACTTGGAGGGCAGGCTGTGGTTGCTCTGTCCAGCCCTCCCTCTCACAGGTACACATCGTACTTGGACGGGGGAGCTGCTTTGGGGGCAGCAGATACAATCATGTCAGGCTCATATATCTGAAGGCATGGCCCCTGGGCAGTGGAATTGTTTGGGGAGGATTGGGAGGCTCCAACGTTGCAAAGCCCCAGGCCTTCCCAGCTTAGCTTGCCCCTCTGCCTTGTCCTCATGGATCAGATCAAGCTCTCTGTCCTGCCACAGCCCATGCCTGCTGGCCTGCTGTCATGTTCCCTGCAGTGACCAGCAGGACTCTACTCGCCTTCTGAAACTCTAAGTCCCAATAACTTCTTCCTTTTATAAGTTGCTTTGGTCATGGTGCCTGCACAGCAGTAACGGTAACTGAGACACGGTCGTAAGTTGTCCCGAGTGCACAGAAAGCAGGCAGACATGTTTGTCTTTCCAGGCTTCCTAGCTTCCTGCAGTAACCCTAGGCTCATGGGCTGCTTCAGTTGCCTTGACTTCAGTTTGCCAAGCAGTCTCGATCTCTAGTGTTTAACAAATATATGCTCTCTCACCCCGATTTTAATACTCCTATTAACGTCCTTGTGTGTGTGAGTGTGTGCGCGTGTGTGCGCGCACTCGCTGCAGAAGGGTTGGAGAGACCATGGTAAAATTCAGAGGTCTTCCTGGAGGTATAGCTGAAGTGGATAGATACAAATGAGCCCAGTTGCACAGTGCACAGGGCCAAGCTGGACCTCAGGGCCGAGGCAAGATGTGGACAGACGTGGACCAGCGAGTGGACAGAAGACAATTGAAGGAGGCCAGATTCCAGTGTGTGTAAATATGCTGCACATTTTTAGTCATCTGTTGGTCACGGACTGGAGTTGGCTCCGCCTAGTGGCTATGGTGAGCAATGCAGTGAGCAGGAGGTGACAAGTTCTAGCTCCTTTCCTTAGTCTGTCCTTAGAACCCAACAGCTAGCTCACTGCCAACGGTTTAGCCTTTTGAGCGGTTGCCTCTCTCCATTCTCATAAGCAGGACTCAGGGCTCCAGTTCATCTGCGCATTCTCCCACTCCACTTTCTTTCTGTTCCTTTCAGCTGCGGCCTGCCCACTGGGAGTAAGGTGGCCTGGGTGCCTTTTAATCATAGGAAGCTTAGAGTAGTTGCAAATTCAAGCCACAGTGCTAGCTCTCACTTGGCCGCACACATAGCTTTCACAGATCTTCCTTTAATCATGTGTCTGTTGCATTTATTCATTTGTGTGTATACGCCCCGCAGCAGGCATGGGCAGGTCAGACGGAAAGCCATGTACGTCAGTTCTCACCTCTGCCTTGGGGCCTCAGGGATTGAGCTTGGGCCTCAGAGCGCTTACCCTCTGTGCCGTCCCCCAGCCGTCCACAGCTCTGAGTTACTACCTGACTTCACTTCACTCTGAAGGACTCCCTGGACACTGCTTGCTGGGCTGGTCTAATAGGAGGAAGAAAAAGAGACTTCCCTAAGTTTGAGACTGTCTCTCCTGTGTGTCCCTCTCCCTACCCACTTAGAATTATTGACCCAGTGGCCTTCTGGCCTCCATGGTCTCTAGAGAAACTGTTTGGTGGTTTTCCGAGGGTACCTCCTCCCTGGCCCTTCATTCTGAGCGTCCCTCGCTGCCAGCCCACTTCTGGAAACCATGATGTGAGTATCTTAGTTTATCTTACTCGAATTTTAGAATCACTTGCTTGTCACATTTGGTTTTTGTTTTTTTTTTTTTTTTTCAGATGTTGCTTCTTCAAAGCCTCCTTATCTCCTTTCTCTTTGTTTCCTGGAGGCTTACAGTGCCTGTGTTGGTCTTAAACGCCGCAGGCCCCTGCACCTTGTTTTACTCCTTTTCTCCACGTTTCTTTGGTTCAGTCATTTCAGTGCCCCTCTAGTCTGCTTCTTCGCCTGCCAGCCACACTGTAACACCCCTGGCGTGCTCCTCCTTGCATTCACTACACTTTTCAGCTCCCGAGTTCCTTCTTTCTCTGCATAAGTTCTACTTTCTTACCGGCGTTTATTTTTAGATTAATTTAAGAAAGTGTAAAAAGAGAGTACACTTCTGAAGTGCACACTGAGGCAGGGGTCCAGGCCCTCCTTCTTTGCTGATACTCTAACTGTGTTCATACACTGCTGTCCTCTGTTCTGGCTGGAATCTGGAATGCCTCCTAAGAAGGCTCGTGGTTGAGGTAAGGGGCTTTGGGGAGGTGATTGAGCCATGAGGGCTCGGAACTCATCTAGATTAATCCATCAATGGATTCTTGGTTGGATGCCATTTTTGAGAGGTGGTGGAAAGGAAGAAATGGAAGGTGTAGGTCCCGGAGGCATGCCCCAGAGAAATCTTGTCACCAGTCCCTTCTTTTTGCTTCGTGGCTGCCA